AAGTTACTTATCAGTTATCCAGATGCACTTACTGTGCACATGGACCTGTGCTTCAAGTGTACACGCTGGGAGATTTTTTGCCTGAGTGTTACCTATACATCATACATGCACTCTGCTCCTCCCTGTGCTCTATACTGAAGACTTCCCACTTCTCAATTTTCTCTCAACCACAGTTCCACAGTGTAAAGGACTCCAGGGAAGAGGAAAGGAGAACAGAAGGTTTCATTCATATATGAACAACAGAGCTTGAAGATCTCCAGTTACTGCTAAGTAACTTTTCTTTCTCCTTTGAGTGCTTGCCCACATGCATATTCTCACTGTAGGCAACTCCAAATCAAATACCCATGCTACCCAGAGGTGGGTATTGAAGTCGTAGATCTGTTGCAGGAACCCTTTGTCAAATGCATCATCACTGCTGGAGGCTTCCACCAATTGCACATTTTGTAAGGGTGAGAATTAAATTCCAGGGGACTAATATGCAGATTTCAATCTAAAGCCTTTCTTAGGGAACCTGCTGAAGTTGCCCGTACATTGGTAAAACAAACTGTAACCACTGATGGCAAGCCCATCTTGGTGGTCTTTTAGCAAACTTTAACACAATTCAACATCCAATTAAACAATCTTTGCACCCTCTGAGAATTTCACTCTCTAAGTTCTGGCTCTGTGTTCTGTAGCAGTCTTTCCAGGTTCTGAAAAACAGATTCTCTCTTCAAAAAGGATCAGAGACCAACCCTACGGATTTTAGATTTGAATTGTGGTCTCATGTTCTTTTCTAGCTTAGGGAGGTTAAAACTTTGCAACTGGTGCACTTCCCAGGATTGTCAGACCCTTCTAGGCAATAACAACTTCTCATTAGATGAAGGTGTGGCATTGTCACATCAAAGACATAGATTAAATCCTGAGAAACTGAGGGAAGCCATCATGATGGGAATAAAAGAAAGGCAAAAGGAGAGAGCATTTTGGGGTGAGTTCTTTTTGATTGTGAAGTCAAAATAATGGGCCTCAGGTATGGAGATACCATGTGATACAAACAAAGGAAGCAGGGTCCCGTTACTTCAAGAAGGATTCTCTCCCCTACTTCCCCCACCAAAAAAAGTTGAATGAAAGATGACAGTGGTATAGAAAGTAAAAGAGATAAAAGAAAGAAACCAGACTGAATCTGGAGACAAAAGGCCTTGAAGAGCTAGAGGCCTGAGCAGATCATAGCTGGTAGGAAAAATGCTAATTCTTAAGACAACTTGGTTGAAAGAAAATGAGGAGTGAAGGTTGCACTGACCTTTCTGGTCTAGGGGTGGAACGCAAGGGTGGGTATACCCCATTCATGGTCTATAAGGACAATTAAAGCAAATAAATCTCCAAGCTTGTGTGACTGTGGTACCTGTGCACTCGGGGAGTACATGCATATCAATAAGCAATTGAAGGAATCTACAACATAGTCATCATCTTTATTCTCCTCTACAGATGTGAAACATGGATGACCTACTGTTGTCACCACAATAGCCTGTAGAAGTATCACCAATGAAGCCTCTGGAAAATCCTTTGCACCAAATGGGAAGATCACTGCACAAACACCAGCATCCTTGCTGAAGCCAATGTTACCAGCATTGTGTGTCAGTGATCCTCAAACTGCTCTACTCCTAGCTTAGCTGCAGCCTGAGATCTTGGGGCGGCCAGAGAAAATGCTACAAGGAAACACTGAAGACATACCTCAAAAAATCGATGCCAAAATCAAGACCTGGGAGGAGCTGGCTGGTAACCAACTGCAGTGGGAGTGCAACTCCAACTAAGTGGTAAAGTGTCTTGTCCTCAACACAGAGAAGGGAATGGAGGAAGGAAAAGGAGAGAAATCCCAGCCTATGACCTACTCTCCCTTGGGGGAAAAAATAGCAACTTCTGTGCATGGATATGTGGCTCAAGGATTGGACTGTTAAGTCACCTCAAGACCCATCAATGATCCATGGTAGAGATCATCCTTGAACTGAGGGATTGCCATTGCTACTGCTGCTAAAATATATCATAATACATTGGATTTGAGAAACAGTAAGGTGTCATGTAACCAAAAGGCTACATGCTGTTATGTCTAAGTGAGTAGAGCTAAGGCTTAGTTTACAACTTTCAGCTACTGGGTGTGTAACCATGCATCCTTAAATGCTGCACTTCATGAAAAAAAAGCGGGGGGGGACACTTACTTTTAGGCAGAGATCAAGCATGGAAAATATGGCCCCAAAGGCAAAAAGTTCAGGAAGTTATAGTGAAACCATTATGCACCTTGAAATAAAACAGTTGCTGCTGCTTTCCAAACTTTTCTTAATGTGGACCTAAGTCTAATATGTCAAAATATTTCAGTTCCTAGACTTATCCTTGATAAAACTGCTTTAAGCTAACATGACCATTAAATGCAAGCCTTCATGAGAAAAAATGCGATGCAGAAAGAGATGAAGAACCTATAATGTGACACTAGTTAGATGATTCAGAAACCCAGAAAAAAGTCTCTATAAGGGACCAGTTCTGTCACCATTGAAATCAATTCTTGGAGATTCTTTCAGTAGTATCAGGCCCTTAGCAAACACTGAGCAGAAATAACAGAAGAGTTTGAGAGAAGAATTTACTCCAGCGCCGTAATTTCTAGAAACCTGTTAGCTCAAGAAGAGTACTTTGCAAGCTGATGTCTCACAAAAGCCATTTCCCATTATTTCCAAACCATTACAATCACGGTTATTGCTAAGCATAGAGCATTATCTTCAATCTTAAAGGGCAAAATTTATTACATTTCTTAAATTTTCTTCAAGTTAAAATCTCTTAGAGGAATGTAATTCAAAGTATTTTGAGTTTCTGAGCTACAATTCTAATCAATATTATAACTAGCAATGTAAAATTTGAGTGAAAGCAGAAGCACTTTTTCACCATTTGTTATGGCCATATGCAATAGCAAACTGAAATGGGATGAGACTGCTCAAAGATCTTTAAATCTATAAAGGACCTCAGAGGAAAAGTCCCCAAGCCTTGAGAGAACAAGAGAAAAGTAGAAGTTAGTTTTTTAAACTTTTGCTTTTCTGTGTCTTCAAAAATTTCTTATTTTTGTAAACAGAGGGTCTCCATCCAAACCACACATACATTATAAATCTAAATTCTGTGTTTCCTTTAGATTGGCAAAACAAAATTAAAATAACCTAAAATTTCTTTCTACAGCCAAGGTAATCCATGCCATCTGGAGTACAGATAAAGCACTGTTCATATACAAACAAACACATTTAGTAAAAATAAGGGGGGAAAGTCTGGAAGTATTTGCTTTGTTTACAAACCAAATCCAATATTTGCTATTTAAACATCCAGTAGATACCATCAAGTAGTAATAAAACTAGTTAAACCTAATTATTTGACAGGGAAATGAGCCATTTTCCACAAGAATGCCAGCATTCAGTTTCGTTTCCTTTATCAGAGTAGGATTGTTGAGTTCCATGCTTGAGGTCAGTTACAAAGTTAAGAATATGCCTCAGTCACCTGTGCTACTATGTACCTTCTTATCAGAGAAACATTACAGTAAGTAAGTAAAGCATTGCTTTGAAAATGTATTCTGCTGATACCCTGCCCCTGAGATAACTATTGGAGAATATAGCATAGAACACAAATTAATCATTCATTCTTCTACTAAGGGACAGGTAGACTCTACCTGACAGCAAGAAACTCTCAGAAGCAAATGTAAAGGATACATTCTTTCTGTAGATCTCCCAGGTCTAAATATAAAGTACCGGAAGTAACGTATTTGTCACAGAAATCTGGAATGGCATCATTCTTGGCACAAACCTGTCATACTGATAAAGGTGTTAGTCTTACAGCTTCATTCAAAATTAAGGATAGAACCAAAAGCCAATACACAAATGATACAAGAAGAATACCTTTAGTTCTAACTAAATTAACATGGACTTAAAAACTAACTCTCCTGATTTAAAAATCTCTGATGTAAGACCAAATCATGAACATCTGCAAAAAGAGCATAAAAGAAACCACTGAACCAAAATTAAGGCCATCTAATAAAAGAAAGGTAGGTTCTGTAGTGGTGTCTAGCACAAAAGTGGGTTCTATTTCTTTTCCTGTCCTAAGGAAAAGTAAGCATTCCTTCCTAAGGTTTTGGTATAGCACACACCTTTGAAGGCCTGCTTTTGCAGGGTACAATATAAACTTTAAAAAGACTCTCCTCATATTTATAAAGTTATCTCGACATCAACATTTCCCCTTCTTTACATGTGCAGGCTGCCCCTATTGCCCAGGTATGACCTATCAAGTTGTTTGGACTGGAGAGTCAAAGGAAGACTAACATGATAGTACCATTAGCTATGGAAACTAGTGTGTCTTAACTAGTGTGCCAGCCTGATGGACTATTTGTCTCAGACAGACCTTTGTCCTTTTGATATGTACAGAGCATGCAGTGAAAACAGTTAAAAATCCTGGCATGTAGGAAAATCTGAATATTGGAGTCAATGTCCACTGTAGAGATCATGCAGAATTTTCTCACAGTATTCTGTTAAACCATTCTCTACCTGATATTTAACTCTGAAGTAACTGCTGCACTCACAAAAGAGACGCAGTGTATTATTAAAAAAAAAATCAAATTGATATTGGAAGCAGTGGAAGATGTATAAACAAAAAGCATTTTGAAACAGTGTTAAACCTTCCTTACAAGTTTGCTAAGGGTTAATGTATGCTCTTAATTTTTTCAAGGAAAACCTAAATTAAATTAAATCATTCCAGAAACTTCAAAGCAAAACACTGTTCTTTCAAGGAGTTTATTTATAGCCAAAAAAAAAAAAAAAAAAGCAATGCAAGCAGTTCTTGAGTGTACAACTGAGATACAATTTGATAAATAGCTTCTATCATTCAAGGCCAGGAGTGTGCAATAGCTTGTTATCAGAATTTTCATCAAAGACACTATTGACTCTTCACATTGTTGTCATTTTTTCATGCTCTTTACTCAGTCAATGTTTTAAAAAAATGTTGCTTACCACCTGTATGAGATACCATGCGATCTGCTGGGGAAGGAGCAATTTCACCTTCTTTCACATTGCCGCTGTTGTCTTTTTCAAGCAGTCTGTCCACCATGGCAATAACACAGTTTAAACTCTTCCCCACATTGGCCCACACCCTGTCCTGAAAAAAGTATCAGTATCACTATACTTTATTGAAACAAACATAGAAAGCTGTTGTGGTAGAACGATAGTTATGTAAAACAAAGATTAGATGCTTACAAATGTCATTACTTCATGTTTTTCTATTGACATTGTTTTTACATTGTAAATTACTTTATTGCAATGGATTTTTTAAGGCACTGAAATAATTATATCGGTCCTTTAACACACATTATATGAAACCAAGAACTGAAATCTCCAATAATCACTAAACAGCATGTTCAGTTGCATAGCCACTTTAGGTCCAAACTAGTAAGGAGATGAGTGATAAATTTACAAAATTTATCATAAATAGCAAAATGATAAATTGAAATAAATCAAAAGGTGTAAGATTAAAAGATAAAATTGAGCTTGGCATCTGAGAGCGCAGTGTCACAGGATAGCCCCCTCCAGGTAGCCACAAGAGCGACAGAAGAGAAGGGTCTTGCAACTACTTGTGCAGAATTGTGTGGAAAACCAGTAGGAGGCCAGAGCCAGATAACTAGAGACTGGCTTAGTGAAGAGCCTGAGCCTGTCCGTGCTTTTGAAACTGAATTGTTTTGATATGGATTCTGAAAGCTGAGTTGTAAAGTGCTTGTTGTTCTTTGTATTTGTGATATGGTAGGCAGAGGCATCTTGCTTGGTTTGAAGGCGTAAGAAGAGAGTTGGAACAGACAGAGTGAGGAAATAGGGTAAGGATGTGGTCTTTATGCAGTCAGAATTAAAGAGGCATCTTTAATACAGACAAGGCAGTGGAAGCGACAATAGGCAAATTTAGAAAGTAAGGTCACAGACAGACCAGCTTTTTAGTTCAATAACTATTTTGAATTACATACCACTACTTAAAATACTTAAATCTTTCATAGAAAATATACTTTCAGAAGTTGCTAAGGTATGTCAGCTATTTATGGGTACTTTTTTGATATCTGGAGATTTCCTGGTTTCTGAAGGTCTTTTAATGAGACACTTTGCTTATAACAAAGGTGTTGGTGGACACTGCACTGCCATTGTGAAGCAGGATATATAACATTAAATTACTATATCCAATTTATGACAGATCAAATAAAATGTAGTGACTAAACTTACCTGATATTGTAAACTAACGCTGATTTATTAATAATATTCTAAATTTAGAGGATGTGCAGAAAAACAAGAAGTATATTTAAGGCAACAGAAAAACAACATATGTTTAGTACTAACAATGTATGTATTATACAGCATGCATCACAAGTGCGAAGTGGTGACAATTAAAAAGGAAAAAAACCGCACTCATCACTGAGTGAAGTGCAATTTAAAAGGAAAATCAAGAACTGGCATCTAAATAAATCACTCTCTGTAGTATGGTGCTTCATGCCGCTTTAAAATAAATCCTTCAAAGTAATAATTGGATATGCAATCATACAGGGATAGCTATAACTTATTTAGTGCTAAAAATATATACTGGACTTCAATTTCAATGTCCTTTAGGGATATGGGTATCCTGAGATAACCATTAGACTTGGTCGTCATCTTATTATTTAGAGGCAACTTTATAAGACTATTGGCTTTGGTAAGGATATATGGTAGTTTTTAGTTTTTTAAATTGCAATGAGTTTTAAGGATATTTTATTATAATAGTCATATACAGTAGTCAGTCAGAAAGCTAAGTACTCTGTCTACAGGGTCTGCATAAAATACTGAAAACTGCTTGGTTACATCTGGGACAACCTTAGATTTGTGGCTGCTTTAATTTTTTTAGAAATTATTTCCTAAAAACAACGGGCCAGGTTCTACTACCATGACATTCCCATTTTTAAAGGTTATTATCTGCTTTATCTTCTACCTTCCAATTAGTTACTTGCTGTACTATACCCTCAATATGTGCCACATCCTCCATAAGAAAGTTCCACTCCTATACAAATTAATTTAATCCAATACATGTTTTTTTTCTATTCTCTCCCACTCCCCCGCTCCAAACACAACAAATTCAGGGGTAATGCAAAGGATGTAATGAGTTACAGATTGGTTAGTCAGCTAGTATAACCAACAGTGGCCACGTATGGCATAAAATTTGTTCATATGATAAATGGCTATCATTAAGATATAATGATTTCACTGTTAATTATGAAAACGTGTCTATATATACAGTATACTTGTTTGTAAACAAACGATATAAACACCAACTATATACGGTCCATAAAGAGCCAGACACATTATAAGCATTAGCAGTCTTCAGCTTGGTTGCCTATCTCAGTTCAAAGAAAAAAAAGTAGCATTGCCTAAAGAACTGCTGTTGATTTAAGTAACTGCTAGACCTGTGCGAAGCAGCTAGTATTTCCTTCAGATTTGGCCGATTTGGGGGACAGTGATTCGATTTGAATCACTGTCCCAAATTAATTTGTCTGAATCAAACAGGCCCCATGCCTCACCTGCTCTCCCACCCCTGCATGGCTGCCCAGCCTGCCCCAGCTCCCCGCACTTGGAAAAGAAAAGCCCGGACTCACCGGGTAGTGCCGGGCAGGAGGGTGATCCCTGCTGGTCCCCACTGCCTCACACTGTGTGGGGG